CGAATGTTTTCTCATCGGAAAAAACCAAATTCGACAGTTCACCACTTTCGGCCAAGCGAAAGACTCTTTTGAGTCTATTTTCTTACTGTTGCGGTGTAAGTTCTTGCACTTTTTGGAATTTCAATGGCTTTACTCCGAGCTCATTTTTCAATATTTGTCGAATGGGACAGTCTTATTTCTCACCCTGTATTTCGATAGTCAAGCCATCAAATTGAGTTCCATTCGGACTGCAAGAAAGCCCCCTTTGAAATACCTGAACTCATGAAGCTTTGTTTGGTCCCAGGACATAGCAATATAGTAAGGAATGAAGTGGCCGACGAACTAGCTCGAGGTCGGTTGATCTACCGATTGAATATTCTGTCAAACCACCTATAAGCTATTATATCAGCCGATTCTAAGAGGCTCTCATCGAAGAAGCCATCTGTCCGGCAATGACGAGAAAAAGAACCTGGTCCGGCATATTGCCTGACCACTGCATTATTAGATTTGACCTCTGGATGGGATAACGATGGTCCTGACTACGTGGACTATGTGAGAACGAAGAAGAGGTAGAGACGATTGAACATCTACTATGCAGATGTCCCACGCTCTCAAGCAAAAGTCATAGGCTGTTCATCATCCACAGGTTTGCTAAAATCATCATGGCTCGGCAAGCCTTCATATAACTTCATATAGATATATCCATCCCCTCTTTCTTTCCCAATTTTATGTCTTTCCTATCATAACTCGTTCTTCCTATGATGAACACAATGGAACAACCCAGCGAACCAAACTGTCCAAGTTCGGTCCAATTTTGAAATGAAAGTCGGAAGAAACTTCCAATGTTGGTGCGTATTCGGTCCGACTTGTGACCAAAAATTAGACCGAAGGTTTGGCCGACTTTCAAACTGAAGTCGGAGCGAATTCCCAAGGATATTCATAGGAAATTTGGAAGGGAAATTAGAGTTGTCAGAACGATATCGGACCGAATTCGGAAGTAATGTCGTACGCATTTCTGGAATTCCGAAGAAGATCTAATGAAGTTCTAATGTATATATTAACAACAAACACAAAAAATCTCTCAAAGAGCAAGAGAGAGAGAAACGTCCTCTAACTCTACAACAAGAAAAAACCAGTAAAGAAAGGTCAAAGTCGAGCTGGGCCATCCGTGCGTCTGTCTATTTATTTTTGTAAACAGAGTACAGGCCGCAATTATTGTCCCAACAAGATAAAATTTTGCATTTGTTTTGTCCAAGGACGAACCTTATTGATAATGAAGATAATCGGTCAAAACTTAGATATAGCACACATATATATCTTCGCCCCGACCACAGTGTGATGTGGGGTATAAAAGACAAATGGCTCAGAATTCGGACATACGTTGGTCGTTGGTCAAAAACTTCAGACTTTGAGCAAAAGGGTCGGACATCCGACATTTGCTTCGCTGGGAATTGTTTCCGAGTGAAGCAGCTGCCGCCTTCAGTGTAGCTGCGCACCTTTTTATCTAACCTAAACTAGGTTCAAAGTTGTTGAACAGCGTTTAAAGGATTGAAGGATGTATGATACATTTATTGGGCGAAAATATACATTCAAATAGTTAAGATTAAACACAACCACTTTAAAAAAAATCTATTTTTTCAAAAATGGCTCAAAAAGATTTTCAAACAATTGACACTTCATATCCTCGTTTCTTATTCTTTTTTTCTTTATTCTTATTCAAGTTCTCTGCCCTCATTTGTAAAATTTTGCAACTTCACAAATCATTTGAGTCACACCTCAAAAAATAAAACAGATCACACCTCGCAGAATAGTTGTGATCTCACACCGGTGTGATCGCAATTTAGATACTCTAGTAATAGATAGCTCGCTTCTTGTTCGAATCGAGGAGACATGGATGGACTTTATGCTTTCTTAACTATTTCGTTGTTATTGTTGTTTATTTCGAAATTCATAAAATTTAAGTTTATTATGTCATTGACTTTGGCATTTCGGTTTGTTGCTGTTGTGATTCTATGATATCCGGAATGTTGTTCTATTTGTTTCTGTGGAATTTCTTTCTTTGTCATTAAACTTCTTCTACTCCCCTCAACTTAGGAAAATGGGCAAATTTATTATTGTTTTTTTTTTTTTTTTTTTTTTTTTTTTTTTTTTTTTTTTTTTAATTTAATAATGAAACCGCCATGAAACCGCATTTCTTCTTTATGTCGTTAAATTCTCTCTTATATCATAAATTAATTATTTATTTCTATTTTAATTTGAAAGGCTATTAGGTAATTACTAATTCTTTAAAATGGCCTATAAATTTCGAGACTATAATATTACAATTAATAATATAAATTAAAAATAAAAAAATAATGTTGTGAAGAAAACTTGTAAATTATTGAAATATGAAGAAAAGAGTGCAATTTTGGTGCCCTATCATGTATTGAGTGAATATTATACAGAGTGAGAGGAGCCACTGGTCCGACATCTTATTCTTATTATTCCAGTGGCAGCTCATTATATTGTTTATAAGCGTACAAAAGCATTTCGGAATTTTCCAGAAAAAAAGTTATTCGTGATGGAATTCAGGCGTGATAGTGTGATTATTTTACATTTGGCTGGAAATCCACTAGTGTCTCGTCTTGTGTCTCGTACCATCGCTCGTTACTGTGATACTGGTAGCGTAGTCCAACGTCAAGGAAGTGGACGGACGATAACAGCAACATCATCAGAAATGGTTCAAAAAGTGACTTGATCGAAACTCGCGACGCAGTGGCCGAAAAATGGGCCGTGAGCTGAACATATCGCAATATTCTATACGGCAAATATTGAAAAATGAGTTCGGCGTAAAGCCATTGAAATTCCAAAAAGTGCAAGAACTTACACCGCAACAGAAAGAAAGTAGACTCAAAAGAGCTAAAGAGTTGCTTCGCTTGACCGAAATTAGTGAACTGTCGAATTTGGTTTTCTCCGATGAGAAAACATTCGTTGTCCAGCAGTTTGTAAACAATCAAAATAATCGTGTTCACTTGCCAAAGAGGTCAGCTGAAAATGTGCACCTTCGGTTGGCCACCAGAACTCAAGCGCCGGCCATGGTGATGGTCGCTCTCCGCTCGTATTAATCCACCGTTTCATCAGAATAAATGCCGAATATTATCGGGAAAATATTCTGGAGGGTTTATTAAAGCCTTGGGCACGCAAACATTTTGGCAGCAGACCTTGGACATTGTAACAGGACTCAGCACCATCGCACTCAGCACGCGCCACTCAAGAATGGTTACAAAATGAGTTTACTCGCTTCTTTTCCATTCCAGCTCAAACAAGCGCTTCGCCGGGCCAAAATACCGCAGAGTAACATTCGGGCAGCGTGGGACGGTTTCATTGGCCGTTTGAAGGCCATAGTCGGAGCGAATTCGCAAGGATATTCATAGGAAATTCGGAAGGGAAGTTGGAGTTGTCGGAAAGTTTTCGGAATGAACTCGGAAGTAATATCTTGCGCATTTTTGATTTCTCGGCACAAATTCCGAAGAAAGGCAAGAGAGAGCGAAACGCATTTTAACTCTACAACAAGAAAAAACTAGTAAAGAAAGGCCAAAGATGAGCTGAACCGTCCGTCCGTCTGTCCATGCATTTTTGTGAACAAAATACATGACGCAATTATTGTGCGATCGAGATAAAATTTTGCATTTGTTTGTGCACGATCCCGTTTAAAAGTCATATTTCGTGCCAAAGGTGACCAATTCGAACAATCTAAACTTTTTCTAAAATTCGATGCTATTTCCGACATTTTTTGCTTTCATTCAATAAAATTAAAAAAAATTATGGCGTTTGACTTTGTTGCAGTTTTTTATCTCACCCTGTATATATATGAATTCCTGGCGTTTTGATAAGATTTAGACTTTTGTAGTCTTCAAGGACCCATAGTAGAATTTTATGACAAATAATTTTGTAAAATATTTTGACGTGCCACGATCCCGTTCAAAGAGATTTTTAACCATGTTTTGAAAAAAGGCCCAAGACCCCTTTGTTGACTTGCTTAAGATTTTAAATATTCCCCGTATTATTATTGCCGAAGACACCTAAAATGCATGGATTTCATGAAAACTTAATCTGAAAATTTCCAGTACATTTGCGATGTAAAACTTTCAGATCGGCGATACACGTGTCTTCTCTTTTAGTTCTACTTTCATAATCTGCTGATTTTTTCCTGTAATTATTGAAAATATTTAATTTTGTTGCACAGTGTTTTAAAAATATGGAAACTCTATTTATAGCTTTCAAATACAGTTTTTTGATTCAAAGGAGATTTTATAAAGTTCATAACTTTTAGGCCATTCCTACGCTTAATGAAAATACGATATTTCTGATTTTTTCCCCATTGATCCGCAAAAAGAAAGAACACAATTTGAGCGTACTTCCGTTCGTAGTCTTTTCTTAGTTTGGGTGTTTAGACATTCGAACCAAATGCATGTAATCTCAACCAAACCGAAATCGAAATGTACGGAACATAACTGTAAAACTCGGCAACTCAAAAATTACTTTAAGGCATTTCAATTGCTTTAAAAAATAAAGATATGATCGTTCAAATATAATTTCGAAACCGTTTGAAGTTATTGCCGTCTAACATAAATTTTCAATTAGTTTAAATGTTGCACATTACAAAATGTATCTACATTTATTACCCACTTTGGATATGTATGTGTGTGTATGTAAATTGCATCAACACCATTCCCGAATGCAACAATTACAAGCTTGGAATTTTAATTTTCAATATTACTTAATACAATTATTTATGTCATGATTACATACTCACACACACACACAAATACCGCCGCCATACATTATGCTAATTGCCCGGAAAGTAATGAACACCAGTCTGACATTTATGACACATTGAAATGGACGGATGGACAGCCAGTTATGACCATTGACATTATTGTTATGTTTGGCCAAGAGGTCAAAGCGTAGTAAAACTTGAAAAAAAAAATCATTAATTTTATGTTTTTCTTTCTCTCTCTCTCTCTTTTGTTTTTTTACAGTCTTATCCAATCGCATGAAACAGCTGGCATACTCGCTGAAAGAATTCAATTTCGAGTGCATCGGCACAGCCCAGACCGATGATGAATTGGTCATATGTGAGAGTTTAAAGCAATTTGGTGATATTATCAGCATGATTGAGGATGAACGGGAGAAAATGGTATGTTGTTGTTGTTTAACTTGCCACAAATGGTGGCTGGAAATATTTACAAAACTCCTATTTCTTCTGTTTTTTAGTTGACACTGGCCGACCAACATATCATTGAACCTCTGGAGGATTTTCGCAAAAAACAAATTGGCGGCGTCAAAGAGAACAAGAAAAAGTTTGACAAGAAAACGGAAAAGTTCTGCCAATCACAGGAACGCTTCCTAAATATGTCAACCAAAAAGCCCGAAAATACAATACAAGAGGTGAGTGTTGCACAAAAAAAAATCTGATGGTAGATGAAAGAAAATGTGATTAAGGTTTATCTAAAAACTATGACTGATTTGTGATGACAAGGTCTTTATAAATATTGGAGAAACAGAATTACGGAAATTGTATTCGATTATATTTTTTTTTTTTTTTGAAGAATTAGACCAACTTAAATAGTGGCCGCCATGAAAAGAAAAATTTTATATCTGATGTAAGGCACTGTATTCGTACATTACATATTGCATAGAAATACCTCTGTAAAAATTATTTCAAATATTTTCCTGAAATAAGAAAAATGTAAATATTTGACCAGACCTCCGAAAAACTCGCTCTAATTTGAACAAAGAGTAAAACTTCCTCGAATTTGAGTGCGTTCCTGGGAGCAGAAATAAAACGAGCAAACTTAATTTTGCGATGTTGCTCGAATATGAGGGAGCTATATTATTCTCGCTTTTGAGTAGGAGCAAAACTCGTTCCAAATCATCTGCTCTACTCTCCGAGGACTCTTTTAGTTATTGTCATACAGTTGTGTATATTTTGTACAACATCACTCCCATCTTCCCTCTCTTCTACTCACATCGCATTTAGTACATTACTGGTACTGTTATACCCCTTCATCATAGCATGGAGGGTATATTAACTTTATCATTCCGTTTGTAACTTCTTGAAATACTCGTGTCAGATCCAAGAAATATATATATATTCTTAATAAGCGTAAAATTTTAAGTCGATTTAGCGGTGTCCGTCTGTCTATCTGTTATAACCACGCAATCTTTCGAACGAATTGAAATAGAAAGCTAAAATTTTGCACACATGTGTTTTTTGCCAGCAGACAGGATAAGTTGGGCCATGTTGGTCCACGTTTTCATGTAACCCCCATATAACAGTACCTCCCAATATTAAGTATTTTGATTATTTTAGCGATATATTTTACCAGAGTTGTTTAAAATTTTGTATTTAAAGTTCATAATGGGTACTACAACCTATAACAAAAATCACGTATTCAGGTCCTCGTCCTAGTATAGCCCCCATATAACGATGCCTCCCTGTATTCGATATTTTGATGATTTTAGCGGTATTATTCACCGGAATTGTTTCGAATGTCGTAATTGAAGTTCGTAATGTGTACTACAGCCTTTGAAAAAAGAACACATCTTCGTATAGCCCCCTTATAAGGTATTTAATTTGAAAGATATTTTTCTACGGATTTTTGTTTTTTTTTTTGAAAAATTTCAAGTTCCTTCGAAATAGTGGCCGAACTTAGCTGCTTTTAAACTTGTTTTAGTACTAATAATGCACGATTTTTTAGCCGAATTTTACCTTCTTCAGACAAAGGTAAAAATAAAATTTCTAAATTCCTTAAGGTACTTTTGGTGAAACACAGTTTTAGGACATTTAGTGCCTTTTTGAAGGAGTAAATATTTGCCCATTATACGGCTAAAATTAGTAATTATATCTCAACTTCTTTTTTGCACTTTTGAGTACGCAAAAATCTACGATTTTTGGAACTTAGTTTTGCAGGCAGTAAAAAATTTAAAATTAAATTAAATTTAGAACTTTTTATTATTTTTCTAATTTTTTAGAACTTTTTATTAATTTAATATTCGCTTATTATATATGGCTTAAATGAAGTATTTTATCTCTACTCCTTTGCATTCATTACAGTTTTGATACTTTTTAATACCCAAGAATGTACGATTTTTAAATTTTATTTTCACAGGCAATATTTTATTTTCGTCAGACATCGCTAAATATCGAATTTCAAAGTTCGTTCTCAAACCGAACAATATTTAGTACTTTTTAGCGCAATTTTTAGCACAAAACTCAGTTTTAGAAACTTTTAGTGACTTTTCATAGACCTCATAAAATGGTCCATATATTTTATACGCTAAAAGTGATCCTCATGCTAAATTTAGAATTATAGCTGTATATTTTCCCTTGCAGTACATTTATATGGGGGCAATACGATATCGTGGACCTATATAGACAATTCTATTTCAGGAGGAAAGGTACTCACAAAGAACTCCTTGTGTAGAATTTCCAACAATTCCATTGAAAATTTTTGCTTAAATCATACAAATAACGAATATCGGAAGGTGCCGTTGTACTTTTAGTAACCAAAACGTACGAGTTTTTAAATCAAATTTCGCAGACATTATTTTCTTCTCAAGCAAAGCTAAATAAAAAAATGATAGGATTCCACATCAAATCACAAATTGCTCAGTACCATTTTTCGTAAAGACTGTGCATATCTAGATATTTTTCCATTACATGGCACATCCTTTCATCAACCATACCTATCTTAAATCCGACTTTTTGACATATGCAAGGAGTCCAGCATCATCCCAGCTAGTACCGGTGATTTAATAGGATGGATCATTCTTCTTAATGGTCGAAATATAATCGGTCAATATTTTCAGAGGGTGCCTCATTTTCTTGAAAAAGTATGTTATTTGCGTAGATATTGCGTAGATTATTAAAAGCTAAAAACATAAGTCCGTTATTGCAAATATTCTATGGCCTTGGGAAATTATTTAAAAAACCATGCTAGTTGTCCTTGTGTCTTTGATTTAAGTTTTTTTTTTTTTTTTTTTTTTTTTTTTTTTGAAATATTCACAAGTCTTCGACAGTTGATTAAAAAATATCCTTTAAAAAATAAAGTTGGTTGGTCTTGTATATTTTAAAGTTTAAAGTAAAGTTGAAAAAAATAATTTTTAAAACAACAAGGTCTGTTGGTTTGAATGTTTTTAAAATTCACATTTTCTTGTTTGATGCTCCTCGAAAAAATATTTTCTACGATTCCTTGTTTATTGGTCAGATAGTCATTGAAATCCACTTTTGTCGGTCTGACAGTCCTTCAAATATATTTTCTTAAAAATAAATGTTTTTGGTCTGACAGTCCTTGAAAAGTATAATTTAAAAAACCCACGTTGTTTGATCTTATAGTCATTTGAGAATTCAGATTTGCTTTTCTGACAGTCCTTGTCAAAATATATTTAAAAAAATATTCTCAATAAAATCCACTTGTGTTGGTTTCATAGTCCCTGAAAGACTATTCTTCTAAAATCCATATTTTCTTGTTTGATGGTCTTAAAAAAAATATGCTCCAAAAATCTCCGTTGGTTGGTTAGACATTATTTAATAAATGTTCTTAAAAAAAACTCGGCTTTGGGTCTAATGTTATTTAAAAAAATATATTTAAAACAGATTTGTTGGTTTGAATGTCTTTGAAACCCACATTTTCTGCAAAAAAATATTCTGTTTTTCTATAAGTCCTCGAAATTCACCGAAATTTTGTTTATTTATTTAAATTGGTCTATTCCAAAACAGAATGTAAATGTTTTTCCAACGATAACCAATTTTCATTTTTTGCTTTTGGAAAAATTGCAAAACTAGATTTTTGCAGATTCTGCAACATTGTAAATACCAATCTCTAAATTATATTTAAATCCTCTCATCATAACCACATCATCACAACACATATTCAGTAAATTTTTTTATCCCTCATTTCCAATGTGGCATTAATATTTAATTGCTTTCCGACACACATTTTTACCAAGCAATTTTACATTTCCATCAATGTTTGTTTTCTGTAAATTACCAAAAAGTTTTCAAATTATGGTTTTCTTCGTAAATTGCAATTTATCTAGTCTGAAGTTTTCCTCTTCAAATGATACGAACGTGCTCATCTCTGAAAATATTTTAGTTCCCTGTTTTTTTTTCCCCGGAAAAAAGAAAATCATTGAAATTCTTGAATAAACATAATTTTACAGATTATTTGAGAGATAAATCCATATGTTCCATAAGCCGTTTTATGTGTAAAGAAAAGTTTTGTTGCAACAAGGATAAGGCAGGACTGCTAAAAACTTGGCCCAGAAAATCAACAAAAACCTTTCCAGAGATTGCCATCGAAACAAAAACGGGCAAAAACAAACGCCCTTTTAAAAGAAATGTGTCTGGCTCTCGAAGAGAACATGAATTTAATTTTATTTATTTATTGTGGCAATAACAACAACAACAACAACAATGGCAACTAGTGAGCTGGCAAATGAATACCGAAAGGATACAAGTTGTAAGAAACTTGTAAATTCAATAACAGTTAAGTGCATCTGCCAAATGCAAGGAGGCAGCTACAAAGGCTGCCGGCAGTCAGGCAGAGAAGTACTTTTGATGTTGCCAATATTTGCCCGGTTTTTTGCATCCTTTTTCTATTTTAGTTGTTTGGCAAATTGTTATACAGTTTTCTTTTTTCGCTGTTTCTCTCACTCTCTTTCGCACAGTTTTTTCGTCCTTTTTCTTTGCAAACTATTTTGTTTTGTTGCTGCTGCTCCTTTTCGGGTTCCTTGACCTAAGTTAACATTAAAAATTTCATTCCACTCCAAATACACACACAAAACATCCAGCTATTGTATAATGGGCGAACGGAACCAAAGAAAGAAAGAAAGAACGGCATATTTGCTAAAAATAGTTATATACAGAACGCTCCCCCACGCCCACCCTTTGCTACAGTCTCTCAAAGCTTTCGGAACAATACTTTACCACCTACACTTGCTTAGCCCACTCTCAACAAAGGAAAGTTTCAACAGCAGCCTACCACTGCTATGCACCTACCTATTCAACGCCCTCCGCCACCCACAACTCCAGCCGGAGAGTAAACAAATTATTCAATGAGAATTCACATGAAAGTTCTTCTTCCTATACATCGGAATAGTTATTTACTTTAGTATACAACAAACACTGTAATGCACTGGCAGGCAGACAGACAAACACGAAAAGCTTTTGATCCTTTGGCATGACTCCCACTACCCATCCTTACTCGTCCTCCACACAGAGCAAATATATAAAGGAGGCCAAAACAACCCAAACCACAGGACCCGCATGAAAATCGTTTAAAACTCCATTGTATGGTAAAATTAGAACGAACGGTGTTCGTGTGATGGGGGTGTTGGAAAATCCGACTACATGGGAATTAGAGAACGAGAGAGTTAGAGAGAGA